ACGACCCACGACATGACCTACGACACGACACAAAATAAACGGATTTGGGTTGAGTATTTCAACCCGTCAAACCGGCAATCCGCCAACTTGTTTATTAAACAGGTCATGTATGAGTTTGCCAGAAAACATACGGGTTGACCCACTAACACGTTTAGAACTTTAATAAAAGAAATTATATATTTTTAAATGTATTAAGTATTATTCGTAGGAATGTAGGATTAATGTTTGTAGTAACGTGGCCATTACATTAGCACTTGAGTTTATCTATGTTTGTATTAATGTTTTAGTTTGAACATGTTTCAATGAATGTTTTTAATTTTCTTTTTCATCTAGAATTTATTCATGTTTAATTATCTATTTTATTTATGGAAACTGACCCACGAACACACGAACACAAATCTGACCCATGAATCTCCGACCTGTGAACCTGTATAAATAAGTGGGTTGACGGGTCGTATATGAGTTTATATTCCAAACCCGCCAACCCCATGACCTGTATAGTTAACTGGGTCATGTTCGGGTTGGTGTATTTTGACCCCCTAATCCGAACACGACATGATTGCCAAGCCTAGGTGATGAAGGCGGGTGATGAAACCCTAATTTCAAGTTTAAAGACTTAAATACGAAGGAAGCCCTAAAAAATCATAGGCTTGGGCTGTAGCCATCCTCACTACGTGACTATACTCATGTCACATCGTGACATGCTTCTTTGATATGCATTTTCCCATTTTACTCGTCACATCGTGACCTCCTTATGGTCACGTCGTGGCACCCATTTTCCCCCAAAACCAATCTTTTGATTCCTTAATGCCCAAAAACCAGTAAATCATTTACTTCATTGTCTTTGTTTCAAGCCAAAATCGGAAAAAAACCCAAAATCAAAATTGAAGCATCTGGCTTCATTACCGTCGTTTCCACCCAAATTGGAAACATCTAAAATCCAGAAATATAAAAGAAACAAAATGAGTATGGATTAAAAGAGTGAGAGGGAGAAAAAAAGGAGAGAGAGATGGTGCACCAGTCATGTTTGTAGTCATGTTTATCCTGGGAGGCAGAAGCAATTTGAGGTCGGTAAAGGAGGTTGAAAGGAACACTAACCAACATAGACAATACTGACACACAAAGCATAATAAATAAGCTGACACAAGGGGTAACCAGTTTACCCTCTGTTTTGTCCAAAGTGACTATTTGTGTAACGTCTCATTTTCATAACAATTTTTTTTCATTTTATTTAAGTAGAGCTTCCCATTTATAAATCCATCTTGAAGAAAACTATTTATTCCAAATACATTTATTGAAATTAGAGTAATATTAAAGCGTAAAATCTTCATTGTTGATGATGAATGTGTACAGTCATGCCTTCACTTTCCCATGATGACCGATGGTACCTGAAACAATAAACAACTTGGTAAGAACAAAGCTTAGTGAGTTTCCCCAAAATACCTCATACGATAAACATACAAGCATGCATCGAGTCCACTCAACCATCGGGCTGGAATACCCAAGGTTTGTTGGCCTACCGCCTCAACCAAACTGCTCTTCCCGAGCCTTCGTGCCTAGGGCTTACAGTCGTTTTGCACTGGGTATCTTGGCCTACAACACCAAGCAGGGCCGCCTCAATCCAATACTACCATATGTCGACATATAAACAAACAGGATCAAGTAGCCACATAATATAGACAAATAACAATCATACAACTCACTACCGCCTACTAGTCCTCATATCGTACACTCTCCCGCTACCAGTTATCCTCCATGAAATGCGTAACCATAAGTAACCAAAGGTGAGATAGCCACTCAGACAAATGATCCTAATTTAGAGCCACAACCAAATAAGGAACATGCAGTAAATCATAGATCGAGAGTTCTTAGGCTATATCCTACATGACCACATACAGTCCCTAGAGCACTCGACTAGATGATAGCTAGTAAGTACAGGTAAACATACATATCTATAAATCAGTACCACATAGCAACATCCTATATACCAAGATACAGATCTAACATATCACTACAACATAGCAAGATACTAAATACCAACAATCTAAGGAATGCATAACCGTATATACTCAGAGGTGAGATAGACACCCGGATAGATGATCCTACTCTGGAACCATAACTAAACACGGAACAAGTAAAAGATCCTAGATCAATAGTCCCCAGTCTATCCTACATGACTATATACAGTCCCTATGACATCCTTCTACTTAAGATAACCAAAACCAGTGGCCCGACGTTGGTGCCTTTGACCCATATGTACAGTGAGGCAAAACTCACCTGAATTGAAGAACCTTGAAACATTGCGATATGCTCCCTTCTGCATTGCTTGCTCCCACGAATCCACTAACACCATAACCAAATAAAATCTTAATCAATAGCCTAAAATCCTCAAGTATGACCCACGGTTAAACTTGGTAAAAAAGACAACGGTCAACGGAAGTCCATGAAAGTCAACAAAAGTCAAAGTACAAGGCAGCTGAGTACGCCCTACGTACACAGACTGATCCCACTCCTTCATTAAGCACTTAATCCCTTAAGGACTTTTCACCCAAACTCAAATCTAGCCTCAAAATATTGTCTTAAGTCATAAAGTTTCCACCTTTATGACTTTCCATGGCTAGGGAAGGTCCAAAAGCTAAAACCCTAACTTATTAATCCATTAAGACATCACAACTCTTCCATGGAAGGGATAGAAGGACCAAGATCCCATTTTTATGGTTCATAATAGATTCATAATGGATAAAGTTTTCAACTTTATCCATTATAATGGTCCCAACAAACAAGATCTAGTCGTTAAGTCGCAAAGGGACCAAAAATGCATCTTTTTTCAACTTAATCCATTAGGTCTAAGTTTCATACCTTTAGATCTAAATCAAAATGATGTTTAGATGGATAAAGTTTCCAACTTTATCCATAACAAGGTCACAAACTTTCAAGATCTAAACTTTATGCACTAAAGTGACAAAAAGTTCATAACATCCAAAACTAGCTAGATCTAACAAATGCATCATCAAGATTCAATATTTATACCTCTAAAAAAAGATCAAGGTGAACAAGGTCTAGATTTACAAGCTTTAATGCAACCAACGCTTCTTCAATGAGTTCCTATTTCTCCAAGGTGCACCACGAACACTCTGAAGCACTTAAAAGCACATTCTTTTTGCTCACATGGCTTAAACTATGGTTAGGGTTTCAAAGGAGGGTGTTGGAGAGGTGGATGCTGAGAATGGAATGAGTTTGGGGAAGTTAAGGAGCTTAAATAGGACTCAACCCATAAAAATAGGGTTTGGGCGCTAATCGCGTACGCCCAACATACTTAATTTCCTCCCAACGTACCTAGTACGCCAAACGTACTCAATTTATGCCCATCGTACCAGACTAAACCCAAAACCTTTTTAACTTCAAACAATCATAATTTCTTCGTTTCAACTCCGATTTCGGCGATCTTTAAATGCATATAAAGGTATTGAAGAGTTCTACAATATTATCTAAATATCTTGGACTAAAAACTTCTCGAACAAAAATCTATATTTCATGCAAGAAGACTAGAAAAAATAATTATTGATAATAATGTTATATATTTTAATAAAAACTAAATACCTTATATAAACACTCATTAATATTTTTTCATAGGATACATAGTTAATATTAATTATAGTGTTCTATTCTTTATTCAAATCTTCTTATTTTCCTATCAAATTTCTTAAAAGTTATTTGGTTTAATCTTATTATAATTATAGATTTCATAGTAATTTTGTTATATATTTTAATAAAAACTATAAATTCCTTGTATATACAACTCATCAAATCTTGACTTGGCAAACGTGTCGTGTCGTGTCAAGACATTAAACGGGCAGAAGGACTTGACCCTAACCTGACTCGTTTTAATTATCGTGTCATGTCGTGTCAACCCGTTTATTTTCGTGTCAGTTTCATTTCGGGTTTCGGGTTAAGGTTTAGACATTGTAAATATGTTGTGTCATGTCGTTTGAAACATTATAAAGGTTGGAAAGTAGGAGTTATGGATACAAAAATAAAAAAGTAAAACATTGGTGTTAGGAGATGGAGTGACAAAATTTTTAGTAAGTTTAGAAGACAAAATGAAAACAGTTTGGCCCACTACAAGTCTATAACATATAATATATTTATAAAAATATGAAATTTATAATAAATAATATATAATTAAGCGGGTCATATTCCAGTTATTTTCTAATTGAAAGTCTTTGACACTAACTATATTTGTTTAATTATTGTGTGAATCCGTTTACATAAACATGTCGAAATCTATGACCCGAACATGTTAATTTCATGTCGGGTTCGTGTCGTGTCATATTTTGCCAGGTCTAATCAAATCTAATATCTTTTTATAGGATGACATAGTTAATAATAATAATAATAATAATAATAATAATAATAATAAAAATAATAATAATAATAATAAAAATAATAAAAATAATAATAATAATAATAATATTATTATTATTATTATTATTATTATTATTTTTATATTCAGAAAAACTCTTATATTATTTTTATGTTCAGAAAAACTCTTATATTATTATTTACATTTCAAATAAAACTAAATTGTAGATTTTGAAGACAAACGATCAGCTAAAAATATAATATGATATATATATCCCTTATACTTCTTCGATTATATACAAAAACATATCAAACCGAAATACATTTCAATTACTTTCACTTGATTGTATTCTCTATATGGTTAATTTTTTCCTCCTTAACTAATTGTTTTTATCCCAATTAAAATCAGTGTCGTATTGATAAACAAAAATATAAGCGACATTAGATTTTTAGTTATCAATTTCTCTTAAAACCTTGTGTTTTTTTTTTTAATAATTATTAATATAAGGGTTTTTCTGAATATAAAAATAATATAAGGGTTTTTCTATATATACTGGTTGGGTTTTTTTATAATAATAATAATAATAATAATATTGTTTTATTGTTTATGATCACAAATTCAAACCATTTTGGGTAAAATTTGCGGGGTCCATGTGATATTCATGGGCGGTAGAAGCTGTGTAAAAAGAGCGATTTTGAAAACCTCATAACGCAACGGCTAAAAAAGGCGAAGAACCCCCAAATTTTAAATCTCTAAGATCCCTCCGTCAGAATCAACGTTTAGGGCTTTCTAGGTTAATCTCAGACCCCAAATTGAATTCAATCAATATCCATCCGAGTAATTCTACCATATCCTTACTCTTTGACAGATTGCGGATGCAGAGGAGGTGAAACAAAATGGTAGCTGTTAAGGTACGACTGAAACCCTGATAATTTCTGCTCTCTTCGTCTTATAATTACCTGCACTGAGTAGATTGATGTTTCTGTTCTTTAAATCAAGGGTTTAAGCACATTCAAGAGTAGGGTTTCTGGAGAACTTGAGACCAGGAAGAGTGGTACTTCAATTTCTCCTCACGCGACTTTTTTCTTTTCTACTTTATGCAACTTACGTTGTTCTTATTTTAGCTCTTAAATTGTTTCAGTAATAGGTGGAGTCAGAAGCTTCAAGGTGTATACAGAAAATGAAAAGGTTAAGGTTCATAGTAGGGATCATGCTGCTGCTGAAACTACGTAAGTTTTGATTCAATATTGCCTTTACTTGTAGAGTTTTACGATTGATTGCCGATCTACTTTTTTTGGCTGTATTCTGTACTTTGATCTACAAGGAACTAGAATCATGTAGGGTTTCCTCTGAAACAAATACATATTTCTGGGAACTAATGGGATTTTTTAACTGCATGCTATGTTGGACCTAAATGTTGATGAGAATTGTGCTAGGTTAAGGAGCTAATCCAATTGTCAAGACAATGTGATTGGTTTGTGTAGCTACAATTTAGAGTCAAAAAAAGTGTAGTTAGTTGATAAGATATCTAAGAGGAGGAGAGTGACTGGAGGGACAAATATCTAAATGTTGCCTATGATGAGAGGAAAGAAGACTAGGCTCCTTAATCAAATCAAATGATCTAAAGAAGTAAAGATGAGACCAAAAGGTTTTTTTTAAAGAGACTGATTAAAGACAATGTATGCAATACTTTGATTAGTTTTTCAACGAGGATAATGACTAACAAGGGGTGTATTAGAGACTTGCTGACCGTTTGAAAAGATAAAATGGGAAAAGGGACCAAAGTTGTAGAAAATTTAGGGTATGTTTTGATTAAGTGTTGTTTGGATAAATAATGTTTTAAAAATTATTCGAGAAATGACAGAATACTTGGGGAAATGGAAATTTGTGATTATTTAGGACTTAATGGGGAAAGCTTCCTTTCACCAACATTCTCTATTAAGCTTATTCTTTCTGCATTTATTTAGAAAGAAACACCCATACATAGCTTATCAGATTAAGATGTGTAACCATTAAGTGAAAAAGAAAAACAGCACCTCAGCCTCTTCATCTTTCCACAACCCACAAAAAGAATGTGCTAGTGGGAACTTGTTTCTTCTTAAATATATTAGCCTTTTTGATTCTCTTATAGTGGTTTCTGATATCCAACCTTGTTCTTTTTTAGAAGGAAGTCTATGCCAGTCAAAGCCGAAACCAGTCAAATTCAAGCCACTTGTCTAAAGGTTAACACCACATGAAGGGTCTATCTTAAATTCTTAATGTCAAAAGCATACATTATTTGGAAAATGCTAATCCCATGTTTTTATGTAATAATCATGAAGGGTGCTCTCAACAAATTGGACAAGATTCATGTAAAAAACATTAACTCCAGTAAGCATTACGCAACTTAACTTTCAGTAAAACAACTTTTCTTGTTTGTACAACTTTTTAACAAATTTATGCTTCATATCACAGCTCAAGGTAAAGCAGCAAGAAAAGTGCTGGGAGATATCAGCAATTCTCAGGGTAATCTTGAAAAGAATGAAGCTTTTAACGGCTCCAATTCTGGGTGAGTGGCATTGGTCTTAAGTTCTTCAGTTTTCTTTGTTTTCAACTAACCATAACAAATTCACTTTGTCTAAAACATTGCAGAAAAGTTAAAATGGAAAAGGTGGCATATTCACAACGGTATGCACACCAACATTGCTATTATTATTATTATTATTATTATTATTATTTTACCCTTTTTGTTACTCTAGTTTTCTATAATACACTATTTAATCTGGTCATAAGCATCTATTTGTGTTTATATTACTGTATGATGTGAATTTGTAGGGCTTCAATTGCTACAAAATCAAGGAATGCGAGTTCTTTATCAGGCAAACTTTCAATGGTATTCATTTAGTGGTTATGTTTAGATGTTTATCTTTGTTTGTTTTTTCTTTTTAATATCAATTATGAATTATCAAATCTAATTTCTTATAGGGAACACGTGTTGGAAGCCAAAGTGAAGCTGTTGAAGGCCGTGTTACACAGGGTAGAGGTAACATTTTGTATATAAATTCATATCTGATCTTATTATTGATTAGCATCTTAGGTTTTATTTTGTACCTAAAACATAGTTGGCAACAAGGATTCAAAGGTCTTTGATGGTAATACAAGAACAAGGCTACAAAGTAAAGAAGCTGTTGGTTATGTTCCAAGGTAATTGTAGTCAAAATCAGTATGAGGGCATTTACGTCTTTTGCACCTATTTTGTCCTGTCTTGTCATATCCTATTGTGATTGTTAGTAATCATTACTTTTAATTAATTTATTCAGGGAATCTACTAGGAACTATCGCCCACCACAAAGGTTTCTATTCTAATGGTGTCTTCTTGTTCTTTTACATTAATACCCCAAAATTCCTTTTGAATTAATGCTTTTCAAATGTTTCTTTTGAAAGGAAATCTTTTCCAGTTCTAAAGCATGTTGAGAAGACAGATACATGTGACATCAAGAAAGTATGATGCTACTCTGGTCTAGTGATTTGTATAGCTTAAACTTTTCTTGTGAATGCTTATTATCCTTTGTTTGCAGGGAAACTTGGGAAATAAAGCAAAGAACAAGGATAAATTTGGATTCTCTGGTGAGTTGACTTTTATTTCAAAGTCAATTACAATTATATTAGCAACATACTTACATTTTTTTTAACACTAATGGCAATGTGTAACAAATAAAGTACATTATCCATATTGGTAGGGAAATGTAAGTGTGTTGTTATTAATAATTAGGAGTAAAAATTGTAAGTATATTGCTATGAAGGGTAAAATCGTAAAAGAGAAAGTATGTTGCTATTCTTTGCGGTTTACACTCTTTAACTCTTTTTTTTTCCTTGAGTTTTCAGTTAAACCTAAAGTGGGGACAACAGTTGTACCACAAGTAAGCAATGGTAGGGACCACCGTTTAAAGAATAGAGTTAGTGATGGATCTATAAATATGTGAGTATCTTTTTTTTTTTTAATTATATATAAAAAAATCTATATATTTCATCTTAAATTATTATTTTATAGGGTGTCAGAAGATCCGTCAACAGGGAATACGAAGAGATTATCTAGGAGGTCAATGAAGGTATGTCAAATAACATTTTTATTAAGATAAATAATTTTTTATTAAAGATTTATACATAACACATTATTATGTTATTTCAGCCAACAGTGAAAACTACAATTGGCATTCCTAAAGTGTCAAGAAGAACCACTGTTTTTACCAAACCAATATCTTCAACCTCTGTTTTATCCAAGAAAAAGGAAGAAACATCAGCAACTTGTGTTTTATCAAAGAAAAATGAGGAAACATCAAATCCAACCGCTAATAATGGGAAATCTAGACGTCGAAAATCATACACATCTTTGCTAATCGAAGGATCAAAGGTTGATAAAATTTTCTTGAAAAATATATTTATTTTTGCAACACTGAGTGACAAAAATACGTTTCCCTTGTAGATGCTAAAGGATCTTGCCAGTGTCACAAAGGAGGAGATTTTGCCAAGTATATATGATGATCGCAATCAACTTGAAGTTTCTGAATATGTTGATGAGATTTATCAGCATTATTGGGTTACCGAAGTGAGTTCTACCATATCTTTTGAGGGCATTTTCGTCTTTTATGCATATGTGAGTCATGATAACAGACAGTGTTTTGAATTGCTTATGAATGCATTGCAGGCACATCATCAGTCACTGAAGAATTACATGGACATCCAAACAGACATCACGCCTCAAATGCGGGGGATTCTCATAAATTGGCTCATAGAAGTAACTACATAGTTGCCCTTATTCTTTTTGTACCTCTTTCAAAGCACAAGTTACAACTAGGTTTTTTTATAATTACAGGTACATTTGAAGTTTGATTTGATGCAAGAGACGCTTTATTTGATGGTGACACTGTTAGACTATTATTTGTCCGTTGTTAATATTAAGAAAAACGAAATGCAATTAGTTGGTCTCACATCGCTCTTGTTAGCATCCAAATATGAAGATTTTTGGCATCCAAAGGTAAATAAATGTTGCTATTGACTTGATTAATTTACATATTTCTTGTTTTTATTGTGTGTTTCTATCTTTTCCAGGTTATGGAATTAATTAGCATCTCAGCAGAGTTATACACGAGAGATCAAATGCTCAAAATGGTATACCTATATATTTTTTTTAACCATATAATTGTATTTCCACTGATTGTTACATTTTTTTTTTTTTTAATTTATCAGGAGACAACAATTTTACATAAACTCAACTTTCGTCTTAATTTGCCCACCCCATATGTTTTCATGCTGAGATTTCTTAGAGCTGCTCATGGAAGCAAAGAGGTGGGTATTTCACAATTTCTACATCCAAATAGTTTTAATATCAAATTAATTATATACTAATTTACAACCATTTTTGTTTTTTCAGTTTGAAAACCTAGCATTCTTCCTGATCGAGCTATCTTTGGTGGAATATGATGCTTTACATTTCAAGCCATCATTGCTATGTGCATCAGCTATTTATGTTGCTAGATGTACTCTCCATTTGGCCCCACCATGGACCCCACTTCTATCCAAACATTCTCACTATCACGAACATCAAATTAGGTACTATTCTTTCATCAAATTAACTGATAGTAACCTTACCTTTTTTTTTCATCTGATAATAATAATAACATTATTTCATATTTTATATAGAGATTGTGCGGAAATGATCTTGAGATTTCACCAAAGTGCAAGAAAAGCCGTGCTGAAAGTTACATTTGATAAATACATGAGCGATCATAACTACAAAGTTGCAAGTATCAGACCTCTCAACAGGCTTCCATCTTCTTGATTTTAGAACCAATATCTTAGTTGGATCTCACATCAGAGACCATTGTTTTTTTTTTTTTTACATTATGGTCTGTAGTCATGTATCTTCTTCACAAAAAAAAAAAAGTGAACTTTTTTGAATCTATTGTAGTTTAACTCATCCTGTAATAGAAGAATTGAATGCATTTTGCATACAAATTTTATATCGTAAATCAAATGATCCACAATCAACTCTATCTATTGTGTAGTGTTGTTATATCGTATAATGTAGAGTATGTGTATACATAACAATAAATGAACACACTGACTATAAACAAGTGGCAACTAGCTGGTAATCTAGCAAACCGGAATAATCATAATCATAGGTATAGCTAGGATCCAATGTGTTCTTAACTGCACGATAGAAGTCTAGCCATGAAGAAGATGAATAGGTTGAATCTAGGGTAGTAGTAGTAGTCCATGAGAATGTAGGGTTAGGTGTAGCAGGAGGACAAACAGAGACAAAATCAAGAACAGATGTAGCTGGTTTTAGCTGTTTAGGGAAATTGAAAGCTAGATTATCGACTTTATGCTCGTAGATTTTGCCATTTCGATCCAGTTTGTAACGGGAAGTACCTTGGAACTCGCCTTTAGCTTCCCATGGGACACGAGGGGTTCCTTTGAGGTTCCATCGGATCAAAATTAGGTTCTCCGATGGCTGCCAAACCCTAAAAATCTCCAAGGAGATGTCTTTGAATAGGATACGGCCGTGAAAACGTAATGCACGGAAGATGAGCTTGTAGTTTTCGATTCCGGTGAACTTGTTCAGAGGATCAACGAAGGTGATATCGTCTCTGTAAAATTCAAAAATCGACAACGATTGGAGCAAAAGTAAATTCCAAAGAAATTCAAGTCTGCAATGGAGGAGTAAATTCGTACCTGTAGATTTCGTAATTGAGATCTGTAGAGAAGAGGAGAGGCAAGTCATGGCGGAGAGTTCGAACAGCTAAGCCGAGATTAACGTAGAAATCTTGTCGAGGATCGCTCGGGGGAGTAACCCTGACACGAACCGGCGGCGTTTCGACGGAGGATTGTAGACTGACACCGTTATGGTTGTGGTGAGTTGCGGAATGCGATGAAGATGGAGGTTTCTGTGAGGATTGATGAAGATGGAGACGAGTGAAAGTTGGAGGAGATAGATTGGGGATTACTGTGAAAGCCATAGCTTTATGATCGCAGAAGAAGAAATTAGGTTAACCTAATCCAGTAAAACGAACATGGGGTTGCAGATTGTTGTTCAACAATGTGTTGTGTGTGTAATGTGTGTTGTGGGTGTGTGTTCATCATCTTCGTCACGTAAATGGAGACACGTGGGTGTGTCTGTCTGGTGGTTGTGAATAATTGTGATCGTTTCCGGGATTTTTCTGATTTTTGTTTTATGGGTCGGATCGAAGCGGGTCGACTTGAACACGTTTTTTTGAATGATTATTAATAATATCATACATAAATACCTTATATACGTATTGATAATTTAACTAACAAGTAATATTTGTATAGAAGCTAATTTAATTATGATATTTAACCTATATGTAAGCTAATATGACAAATAAAATGATTTTGTAATAGCTTTGATGGGATACCTTTAGCAATAAACTTATATATATATTAACACTTTGTTATTTCTTATGTTAGAAATAAAACATAATCCACTTGTTTATCATATGCGATTTAATAAATCAAATTTGAGAGATAAACATTATTGCATACCGTATAATTTCAATGGTTCATGCCAATTCGTCTCAAGACCCATATGAAAAATCAATCACATAACACTAATAATATTTTGGACGCGAGAGCATGAAAAGTGTGATATTAAAATATATCAAATCAATTTAGATTACACATAGATTGCTTATGTAATTAAATATAAAATAATATCATATCAAATATGATAAGCATAAATACATTACAATTGGAATTGACACTATTTTACAAGTAGTCGTAGACTTCTATCAATTGTATCAAACATTTTTTATATAAATAAAATGTAACTATAAAAACAAAAGTTTTTTTCTCTTTTTGTTAGAGATTCTCTATGGAAGCAGTTTCGTTTGCCTACATCTTACCTCCCTCTATTGATTCTTCTCTTAGGGGAATCGAGTTTTTGTTATTATTATTGTTGCAATTATAAAAAAAAATTACTCAAACATTTCCCTTATGTTCAGGTGTGTGGGTGAATTCAAAATCGATATGAACGAAAGCTCGTTCAACTTCCGCCAATTGTTCTAATTTTTCTTGTAACATTTCACCAATATTATGTGCCTCGATGAGAATCATATCCTGTGGCAAAACTATGTCTACTTCCACAAAGTAATAACCCCCGAATGTGTAGGCTCTAACTGTATCAATGTGTTTTATTTCTTCATGATGGTTCCATACCAAATATATCAACTTTGATAAGAATTCTGGTGGAGCTGTTCTTCCAATTAAAGACCGTACATTCTCTATCACAGTCTTTGTCCATGTATTTATCGTGTACAAAGCAATCTACAATTTATCCAAAATGTGTAAATAAAATTTAGAATAAATTACATTTTTGAACCTAGGTATATAGCTGATTTCTTTAATTTTGGTCCCAAAAAGTGTTCTCTTGTAATTGTTGTTTTTAATTGACCTTAGTGTTTTTTTTTTTGTCTACGTTCCAGGTAAAATGACTGTATTT